GTTGTTTAAATTGTTCTTCTATGCTTAATGGGTTCCTAATGCTTAATTTTAGGTTAGACAACAAATGATCAAATTAGGGAATTAGGAACACAAGGTTATGACCAAACACCATGGCTTAATCATACTTTAGCTAGAATCAATCCGTTAATCTAATTGAACTTAGGAACTTATCTGCTTGAGTTAGTTATTTCTTTCTTCCTTGTTTTATTTATTTCCTTTCTTTTTCATTTCTATTTTGTGTAGGGAAACTAAATTGGATCATTCAATTAATCACCAATCCCTATGGAATCGACCTCGCACTTACATACGCTAAACTACCAACGGTTCGTGCACTTGCGAGTATCACAAGTTGAGGATGCAGCTTAATCCATTTTGGTGCAACTGTATCTACACAACACAAGTATTGTGAAATAATATAAATAATTGATGATGAAAAGGCAACAATATAAAACATGGAAAACCAAATTGCATTATTCCATAAATTTCATTTCTGATTTGGACCCTTGTAAGTTAATGTTGTTTTGTGCTTTACCACTTGAACTTGTTCTTTTTTTCTTGTGAGGCCGAGGACATGGAAACGAAGATTTATCCTTTCATTTTCTTGGGCATGGTGGAAATTTGTCTAAGATTTCAAGAGAAGCATCATCATAATGATCATCGGATTCCTGCGAAGAGAAGTCATGGTTGAAGACTTGAAGTTCAAAAGCTTTGTGATGTGTTTCAAAGCTTTAAGTTGTGTTTTAAAGTTGAAGGAAAAAATCTGTAATTTCAAAATATATTTCTTGCATTTGTCTTCCCAGTTCTCTCCCAGCTAGAATAACAGGGGTTTCAGTTCTGTTTCTATGTGATTTGGTGGTGACCAATTTACTCAGGTTTAAAGTGTAATTATTTGACCTGACCAACCAAAAAGAAGAGAGTAATTAATTGCTCAATCACTCAATACAACCAACTCAATCGTCGCTCAAACTTGCGTCACCCAAAAAATAAATTTCATCGCATAAACAGTGAATTTGGTCGCTCAAAATTACAACTGTGCGCGACGAGAAATTAAGTCGTTGCGCAAGTATTTGGCGCCAAATAAAATAACTCCGCGTTTTTCTTACGTGACGATAACGTGTATTGTCGCACTACATATTCTTTCGTGACGATAGATTTCGTCGCGCAAGTGTTTGGCGCCAAATAATATAACCCTGCGTTTTCTTACTAACTTTACACGACGATAAGACGTATTGTCGCGCGAAGTATGCTTTCGCGACGATAGAAGGTGTCGCGCAAATTTTTGGCGCCACTTTACGCGACGATAACCTGTATTGTCGCGCTAAGTGTTCTTGCGCGACGATACTTGTCGTCGTGCTAGTTTAGAAATATAAAATTTTTATAAACCATGATATATTATCTAATTTCATATTTAACAAAGTGTATAGATGAGATATTTTTAACATTAGAATTTTATTGTATTTTTTTTATGGATGAGATTTTTTTTTCTCCCTTTCTGTTGCACTTAGTCTATTTAATTAAACCATGATATATTATGTAATTTCATATTTAAACTAAAGATTATAAGACTACATATGATATTTTTCTTTCTTTTATTTTGCTAAGGGAATGTTAAGGTTTGTTTCTCATTTTCATTTTTTGAAAATGTTCTCTAAAAACAATTTTCAAAAATATTACCAAAAGGGTCATGGCTTTAGGATTTAAATAAAGGTACATGGTGTTGTAACAAGACACTTGTGACAAGCATGTCTAGTCAAATACAACATCTAGCTCCAATTCAAATATATGACCATACCATATTGTAGAGGTTACATGCATTGTTGACCAGCGTAATGCTGAAAACACTAAAATAAATTTCAAATTTTTATAGCTCAATTTATTTAACAATGTTTCATTTCTCCACAATATATAAGGTTTGTTATAAAAAAAATACAAAATATAGTTTTCCTTTTCCGTAAAGCCAAACACAAAAAATATTATATTATAAATAACATATAAATAAATAGGAAAGCTTTTAAGGTAATGAAATTGAACAAAACAAAATAATAGGTAAGTAAAAGGAAAATAAATAATAAGTAAGAAGGTGAGTTTGGTACGGTGAAGCACATCAAAGACGCTGTCCTAAAGCCTTTGTAGCCTCCCTACGTGCAGGTACTGACGGTCTACAAGACTCCAAGATACGACCCCTTGTACACAAACTCAAGATCTGCTATGAGCACGTTCATAAACGGATATAGATATCCAAGTCACAGAACCATTGCCAAAATAATAATATAAAGTAGAGAATATATATAAAAGTAGAAAATGAGAGAATTAGTTTGTGGTGGTGATTGTGGTATGTGATATTCTGATGGTGTACTGTGTGTATTTCAAATGTGAAGAAGGAGTGGCCTTTTATAGACATCCAAAAACATGTAACCTTCACCAACCATAAAAGTTCACCAACAAAAAAATTAAGGCATTCACCAACCAGAAATAAAACCTGAATATTAAATATTTATAACCCCCACAATAAATAAAATAAAACAGAAAAATAATTAAATAAATAAAACGGTTAAATTTTTAAAACCTTTTTAAAATTCCAACGGTTTGGTTTTAGGAAGTACATATATTCAAACAAGCATATTTGCCAAAATCTTTACACTAACATAATTAAATTACAAAAAATTTAATTTACTATGTTTTACATGGCAAGTCGCAAATAAATTGCATTATTCATCATCTGAATTATAATAACCTTTGTTATCGTCGCTATCATCACTTTTGGTCTCCCAATCCTCCTCCTCTATAACTACATCATCGTCGTTGTTCGGGCCCACTGCAACATCGTATCGTGGAAGATCATCGAGGTCAATTATAATTAACTGAATCGATATTTCGATTGAAGACACTCCTTGTATCTGAAATGATTCTTGTATAACATTTGTATCTCGAAGTGTTTCCGCATCATTTTCCGTTGAAGATTCTAAACGTTGGTCAGCGACGTTGTCGACGTCGTTGTCAGTTGGGTCTAGTTCTGGTATAGCATACAAGTTCCTCTGATCCATCTTTTGAACAACTTTCCAACCGCTCCCTGCTTTAGGGTCATCTAGATACACAATATGTGTTGCCATGTTTGCCAAAATGTAAGGGTCGTCATCATACCAAGTTCTTTTAATGTTCACCGATAGTAAGCCATGGTCGATTTTAACACTTCCCTGCCTATTTGGGTTTGTTTCAAACCATCGACACTTAAACATGATCACTTGGTATCGGTCTTTGTAAAGCAATTGCACGACAGTTGTGAGTTTGCCATAGAAATCAATGACCGTACTTTCGCCTCCACCTGGGACATGGACACCGTTGTTTTGCGTACACAACCTGTCATCTCGTGCAGTCCCCAAAAACTTGACGTCGTTAACATGGCAACCCGAGAATAATTTAGCGTGAATTGGGCCGAACGCCAAGTTATATAACTCTTCACTGTAAGTGGGGGAATTCGATGATTTCAACTTATTTACCTAATATTATAAATTAAAAAAAACATTCACATGTGTTTGTACCATACATGATCCTTCACTCATCCATTGACACGTGGATCACTTAAACTCTCAAGTGCCCAAGGCTTCGAACAATCAGCATCGGCTACCGATGGTATTGTCTCAAAGCAGCAAAAGGTCGCTACAGGCCTAAAAGTCTACAATCGGTACGCCCTACCGATTCTGCAGAATCAACCTCGAAGCACCCGCCCGAAATATCTAGAGAACTCGTGTCACCCTCATAGGGCCCTCCAACGAGTCCCGCATCGAAATTAAGTACTAAGAGCATACAAAATGCCCTCTATAAATAGGCCCCTTGACTACAATACAGTGGGAAGACTTTTCAGCTTGACTTTTATACTAATATATTGTCAACAGCGAAAGCTCTTAGAAAACAAACTTACTTTAGCATCGGAGGGTCTTAGACTGGTTCCACACCGGTTCCATAGACCTCACGAATCTTCTTCCTTCTATTCAGGATCAGCATCTGAGGACAGGAAGAGTCTGTATCCAACACTCAATCGATCTCTCGATCATCCATATCACTTGTAAGTTGCACTCATCTCTATCTGTTCAGTTTTGGTACCAACAGATTGACGCCGTCTGTGGGAATCGCTTATCGATTAACCCATATCACTTCTCGGAGACCAAGCAATGAATCCATCTTCGGCCCTCCCTGCCGATGGCCCCATCCTCGACATCTGTGGTGAGCCAAGTCTAGCTCCTTTGCTTCAGACGCCACGAACAGAAACCCCTGCCCAGCCAAACACCCTGGAGGCTCGCATGGAAACTCTACAGCAGGAAATGGCGAGGATGCAGGAGCACAACGATATCCTCGCCTCTAAACTGGATGACACCCAGAGGCAACTGCACGATCAACAAACACACTCCACCCAACTACATAACGGTCTGGAACGAACCACGCAGCTTCGGCAGGAGAAGTCGTTTAAAAGCATACGGAAGCCCAATGCCCAAGATAGAGGGAAACAGCAAGCCGCAGGCAAGCCATCTGCCTCCCGAAGACTGTTTGTGCCCTCCCCAAGAGAGCGTCGTCCAGAATATCAAGTTTACTCCGATTGCCGTGATCGGATCAACGATCGGCGCAAAGAGCGACAGCCTTCGCCCATCCCGATCCAGGCAAAACTCAACGATCGACGTCTGGAGGCGCTTGGACCAAAATCCCCCGTACGCCGGCGGTACGACGCGATCAGTCTGGAAGAAAGGGACGAATCAGACTATGTTTCAACTTCACCGGGGACCACGATCTCCCACTGATCGGCAGGACCTTCAAAAGAGCACCATAGCCATCGAACGAATCGGAAAGATGATCAGCATACCGGGGGCTATAGGAGAAGCTCAAGCCGAACGGCAGGTCAGGATGCTCAGGGCCACTACGCTGGCCGGACAACGGAGAAAGAGGCAAGGGACCCCTTCGGTGACGATCTTCCCTCTATCGATTCTACCATCTGTCTCCTCCTCCAGAAGATGAACCGCATTGAGGAGGAACATAACCAGGCTAGGACACCAACGTGGGGAAAGGTACAACCGGGACCATTCACCAGTCATATCCGGACGTTCAGACACGAAAAGGAGATCCAAGCACTACGAATATCATTCTATTCGGGGGTGGAAGACCCTGTTACTCACATTCATACCTTCCATTCAGCTCTGGGTTGCAAAGGGCTAACGGACGAAGGCCAATGTTTACTATTCCAGTCCACCCTGACCGGAGCTGCTCTGAATTGGTTCTACCGATTGGCACCAGGTACGGTTGACTCATTTGATCAGTTGAAGCAAACTTTCCTCAACCATTTTATGATTCAAACCGATCGCCTATACTCTGCAGATGACCTCTATACCATTCGGCAACAAGACGATAAGCCCCTGAGGGAATACGCGGCTAGGTTCAGCCATGAATACTCCCGATGTCTAGAAACTGACGATAGGGCAGCCTTCGGCGCCTTCAAAAGCGGCCTTCGGTCGTCTCAGTTTCGCTATCTGGTCTACAGCAGCAACTGGACCACCTACGTCGAGCTAATGAAGCAGGCAGCTATCCACGCCAAAGCCGAACATTTCAACTCCAAGGGATCGGCTTCGGCTCCCCCAAGCCAAACAACAACGGCCGATCGGCCTTCAACACAGAGCCATGACCGATTTCCGGCAAATCAAACTATCAGCCAGGCCCCCTACCGAACGGCACCCCCAACCTCTGCTCCTTACGAGGCCCGAAACAAACGGAAAGACGACTTTCGGGATCGGCAGGACGGCGGCAAATGAGGCAAGGACTCCAACAGGCGAAACGACTTCGGAAATCCGAAGACGAATCGGTCATAGGAAATTTTCACCTTACTCAACACCACTTTCGAGCATGTCCTCCTGACGGAGGAGGAGATGATCCAGAAGCCGAACAACTGAAAGCTTCCTCGGCAGAACGGGAAAGACACCGGTGTATTCTGCCGATACCACCAGTACAATGGCCACGATACAGAATCGTGCATCGCCCTTCGAAAGATAGTCGAACGCCTCATCAATGAAGGCAAGTTGGATCAGTACCTAAACACCAAAACGGCTTCGGATCAACCCTTGAATCGGCAGATTAACATGATCAGTGGAGGGGCACCCATCGCCGAAGCCTTGGCAACCATCACCGCAGCCAGGGTTGAGCATTTCGTATGGAAGAATATCATTTGTCGGTTCGGCCTCCCGAACGCAATCATCACCGACAACGGTAAACAATTCGACTCCTCTCAGTTCCGGCACCTATGCCACCGTTTCAACATCAACTTGTTCTTCGCATCTCCGGCGCACCCACAATCAAATGGTCAGGTTGAGGCCATTAACAAGATCATCAAGAAGACACTGAAGAAGAAGCTTGGGGCAGCCAAGGGAGCCTGGCCCGATTTGCTCCCAGAAGCGTTATGGGCCATCAACACCTCCTACCGACGATCGACTGGCGAAACACCGTTTTCCCTTGCTTTCGGTACCGAAGCTGTCGTCCCAGTCGAAATCAACGTACCCACGTGCCGAACGACATCTTACACGCCAGAGAAAAATGAAACTCTTCTTGCACTCAACCTGGACCTCATTGACGAACACCGTTCCCTCGCCCAGCTTCGGAATCCTACCTACAAACAGAGAACCTCCTGCTACTACGACTCGCGTGTCAAACGCCGATCATTCAAAGTGGGGGACTGGGTTTTACGCAAAGTCTCTCTCGCCACCAAGGACTCCAATGAGGGCACCCTTGGCCCTTCATGGGAAGGCCCTTATGAGGTCGTCACCGTCTGCCGACCGGGAACTTACCGATTGCGCGGTACCGATGGCCAAACCCTTGGCCACCCTTGGAACGTAGAACATTTGAAATATTACTACAAGTGACTGCACCTTCGGTCATCACTTTTTGTACAAATGAACGTACCTTCGGCATCAATTATCACAATTTCTATTCTATACATACGGCGTTACCATAAACAGCAGTATTTTATTCAAAATCAGCTACCTACAGCATGCACACATAAGAATACGAAAGTTGGCAAATTAAACCGAATCAAATTAAACTTGGATAAAAAGGCCACAGAATGGCCATCTGTCTTAACACAAAGCCATTCGGCATGTCCAAAAATTCTCATTCTGAAAATTAAAATCTTCAAGTCTAAGAGGCAGGAGGCTCAGCAGACACGGGCTCGGCAGTGTTCGAAGCTTCGGCAATCGGCGCGTTGCTTGCGTTCGGCGCAGGGTGGCTCTCTTCCTCCTCACTACTAGACTCAGTATCATCGGCTTCTTCAGGCTCGGCATCCTCACCCTTGTAAGCCTCCACCATTTCTTCGGTCACCCCTTCTGGCAGCGAAGGCGGATCCCGGAGGAAGTTCATGTTCAGCTTCTTATCTGCGTTGAAACGCTTGAATCGGTACAATAGGTCATCACACTGCTCCATGACCTCCTTATCTAGCATCAGCGTGAACTCCTTCGTCGACCGGTATTCAGCAACGGCCTTCGCCTTTGCCTCTTCCAACTCCTTGGCATGCGACCGTTCAGCCGCATCCATCGCCACCTCCACCACTGCCTTCACCTCATGAGCAGCCACCACATCCAGCTCGGTCGCCGCAAGCCTCGACGCAAGCTCGGCAATCTTAGCAACATTTTCCTCGGCACGCCGATCAGCATCCTGGAGCATCTTACCTGCATCGACAATCTTCGAACGGCCCTCCTCGAATCTCTTCTGGTACCGTTCGGCAGCATTCACGGCTCGCTTTACGCAGAGGCACATCTCCACATCAGCCTGCAACACGTCAAAAAAAAATTAATATCTGCCGAACGCTTAGGCACTTTGACCAAATTGAATTCTACAAACTTACTACAGCCTGAAGCCGGAAGGCGCGTCCGGTCTGCTCACGCAACATCTTCATCGACAGCTGCTCGATTTCAGATAACTCCATTTGAGCGCCATCGATCATGCTGTTGATGAACGGCACGGCCTTCCGAGGGCAGGCAACGTTCACCGGCCCCTCCCCCTCCACTTCATCATCCGGGATCAGCACGGAGGTCCCCTCGTTCGGCCCCCTAGGTTTCTTCGGCATCGGCATTGTGTCGAGGGCACCCTCGATCTGCCTCTTGCCCGTCACCTGTAGGTGGACCTCCCGAACGGCCTCGGCTTCGGCCACCCTCTTCTCCCGGTGACGGTCGGCCACCGTCATCTTGTCCGCCGAAGCCCCTCCGGAAGCCTCTGCGGCCTTCTTCTTCTTCGGCCTGGGGGACTCCCCTTTCTTCGGCCTTGGCGCCCCTTGCCCCTCCAGACGTCGCCTGGTCGCCTCACTCATCGGCCTCCCACTCGCCACTGCATACCAAAAAATAAGTCAGAAAAGAAACTGCAGTTTTGAAAATAGACAAGAAAGAAACCTGCCGAACGGCATCTCTTACTCAGTCTTTTTTCTTCTTCCTCTTCTTCCTTCACTCTTCGGTCGTGTTCTTCCTGACCGATCAGGCCTGCCTTGAATAGATTCCGAAAGTAGAGTAGCTCCTTAAAAAACCGATCTTCTTCGGCAATCTTCGCTCGCACACGCTCGATCGCTTCCACTTCACGGATCGGAGCAGCAGGCCGTTTCAAGGACACTAAAACAACAACACAAACGGTAAAAAAAAAAAAACCAACCACTACACTACTGCCGAACGGCAGGTTCTACCATACCGACTGTCTGAAAGGTCGTAGGAATCCTCCTCTCTACAATAACTCCCAGTGCCGATTCCCAATCACCGGATACAATCACCCGACGCTTGCGCCAGGTCTTTTGGGAGCTCGGCACCCCAACCACGAAGGGCCCACGATGCCCTGCCGACAGTCAGTTGGACTGAACCCACCCCCTTGATCGGCACTCTTCGCCCTCGTCACACTGTACAGCTGGGCCCACTATTCGTAGCTCGGCTCCCCCTCGCCAGCCAAGCCGAACGCTGTTATCGTCCCGAGCAACATAATCCAAAAGTTTGGATTATACTGCCCCGGCGCATACCCAATCGCCGCCAAAATCTTCTGCACCGAATGCCTCAACGGCAGCCGAAGCCCATGCTTGAAGACATCGGTGAAGAAGACCACGCCCTTGTCATTATCACTCAATGACTCCAACGGCGCTGGAATTCGCATCCCTACCGAATCAGGGATATTGTACTCCGCCCGAATCTTAGCCAGCTCAGATTCGGTCAGTGTGTTCGGCTCTAAGTGATCTACTCCGAACACCAGTTCCTTCAGCTTCGCCATCGGGATCCGTTGCCTGCCACTGACTACCCTCAGCACCCCCTCCCCTGGCGCAGCAACGGACACGCCACCCGCATCGGCCTCACGACCCGAAGTCGAAGGCTCACTATCTTGGGGCAATCCACGCGAAGTGCCACCAGCTCCGGTGCGCACTCCTGCCCCCTCCACTATTTCACAGCTTAAAGAGCTAGCAGATTCGGCACTCCCACTCTCTTCGGCAGAACTCCCCGAGGACGAATCGTCCTCGAATGTCCTCGGACTACGACTACGCTCAGATTCGGTATCTGACATCTACAAACAACACACGAAGGGAAACTAAGAGCCATGGTAGAATCAACAGTCCTATTCTACCTCCTAAACACTTATGTTCAAACTTGTTCATGCTTGTTCATGCTCGTTTATACTTTGTTCATACAAAATTCAACGATATCAACACTTTGATTCGCAAAAAATCAAAGACACGGCAACATATCTTGTTTGCACGGTGGTTCAAGCACGCCGGAAATCGCCTCCGCCTTGTTCAACCTTGCCGAAAATCGCCTGCTCAGCCTTCACACGTCGCCGGAAATCGCCTCTAATAAGCTCTAATTGCTCTCCAAATCTTCAAGTATTCCAACTATCGTCCCTTCCTCACATTTATAGGACGAACCTAGCATCGGGAGGCGAAGCGACGCATCGGGATATGAAATGACGCAACTCTTCACAGCCACGCCGACACGTGTCCCGCATGCATGGGGGAGCCCAAGCGTTGTCATTCGAAACGTTTCCAATCCTCAGAGACGCTTCAACTTCCCGAACGTTGCAGCTCTAGCCATCTTCGAGCACAACTCCATTAGCGAACGGCAGGCGCCCATTGATGAGTTCTCACTCACCTCAAGTGCCGAACGGCAGGCGCACATTGATAAGTTTCTCACTCACCTCTCGTGCCGAACGGCAGCCGCACATTTATGAGTTCTCACTCACCTCTCGTGCCGAACAGCAGGTGTTCCTAAAACAAGACTTCCACACCTCTCGGAACAATCGGTACATCATGCCATCTCTTTTCCAAGCTCATTCGCTTGGGCACTTGGGGGACTACATGCCACCATCGGCAACAATGAGACCATCGAGTCCGGATCAGAATGCCGAAGATAGATTCAAGTCCCCAACCGAGAAGCTTCTCAATCGGTAACTTGGGGGACTACTGTTTGTACCATACCTGATCCTCCACTCATCCATTGACACGTGGGTCACTTAAACTCCCAAGTGCCCAAGGCTCCGAACAATCAGCATCGGCTACCGATGGTATTGTCTCAAAGCAGCAAAAGGTCGCTACAGACCCAGCAGTCTACAATCGGTACGCCCTACCGATTCTGCAGAATCAACCTCGACGCACCCGCCCGAAATATCTAGAGAACTCGTGTCAACCTCATAGGGCCCTCCCACGAGTCCCACATCGAAATTAAGTACTAAGAGCATACAAAATGCCCTCTATAAATAGGCCTCTTGACTACAATACAGTGGGAAGGCTTTTCAGCTTGACTTTTATACT